GCTCCCACGCTGCCTCCAACTGCTGCGTAAGCAGCTAGCCCTGTCCCCCGAGGGAGCTCCCCAGCCCTGGGCCCCTGAGTGCCCGTCCTGGGCGGCCCTTACTGGGAGACAACCTGTGCTTTCCAGGCCCATGGGGAGAGGGTGGAGGAGAGCTGCCAGCTGTGTACAAAGGGCCCCCCTGCCACCTATGATTGGCCAGCTGTGCCCAGTCCTGACCCAAATCCCAGGAAGATGTTGAGTTGCTACATATCACAGGTGCTGAGTGGGGAGCAGCAGGTATGAGGGGAGTGGCCAATGGGACCTGTCCCCAAGGCGTTCCCAGTCAAGGTCCCTTCTCAGGAGAGCCCTCACCAGGCCTCAGAGACGCGAGGACCCTGTGACACTGTGCCACTTGCTTTCATGAGAAGGGCATTGGAGATGACCCTGTTGGGCACTTTGCTGGGTGTGACTGGGCAGAGGAGCAGGGTGTGTCCCCCTGGAGAGCCGGTTTGGCCAGCCTCACCTGCTGGCAGAAGCTTGGTTTCAAATGGGCTAATAGCTAGGGACCCAGACAGTCTTTTCATCTTGGCCTGCCCAGCACATGCCCGGCTGCCAGGGAGCTGGGTAACTTCCACCTGGTCACCCAGAGCTGGAGTAGGGCTCTGGACATGGCCGGCCAGCTGCCATCACCCAGGTCAGGGGGATAAAGGGAAAATCGTGGACCATCAGAGCTTGGTCCCATGCTGGCCCCTCGTTGATGGGCTCACCCCATGTAGAGCGCCCTGTCCTCCTAGCAGCTCAGAGTGGACGGAGGCTCCCCTGTACCCACGGAGGCCAAGGGCAGCCCATGCCCATCAGCAGCCTGACCGTCCCCCGGCCAGCACAGACTCCCTGTACTGAGCACTGGCTGTGAGCCCAGCCCTGTGGTGGGCACAGGGAAGGGCCTCTGCCTGGAGAGCCTGGGACAATGACAGAGAGTGACATTAGCAACAGGAGAGCACCCAAGACCATAGGCGGCTGGGTGTGAGGCCATCGCAGACACCCAGAGAAAGGCTTGGGGTGGGGTGGGGGTCCGGGCAGGATTTGCAGCGCTGACAAGTGGAGAAGAGGCCTTGCAGAAATGTAGGGTTTGGGAGGACCGGGAGAGGAAAGCTCTCCAGGAAGGAGCAGAGTCTGCGCAGAAGCAGGCAGGAGGCCTGGAGGTGGCTGCTGCCACGGGGACTCAGGAGGGGTGTGCTGGGAGCGGGGGAGTTGCAGGAAGGCTGGGTGGGGCCAGGCCGGTGCCTCCGTCCTGTTGTAGCAGAGACACGGTCGGCTCTGGAGCAGCCAAGGGCTAATGAAGGCTTTGTCTGAGGAAGGTCAAGGTGCTGGCACCACCAGGCAGGTGCCAGGGCCCCGAGGGCTGGGTGGGGCTCGTGGGAGGCACCGGAGCTGTCCAGTGGAGACCCGGTGAGAGCCAGACCACAGTCTGGGCATCGGGAGTGGAAAGGGAGGGGCCAGGAAGATCCTCAGATGGGCGGACGAAAGGACGCCCTGTCTTCCTACACGGTCGGTCTCTGTCCGCCCGATGACCTTGGGCTCTAACGGCTGGGGAGGGGGCCCTTCAGACTGAACGGGACTCGCAAGGGGAAACTGACTGCATTCCGTCCTTTGAGGCCCTGGGTCTTGGGCTTAGGCTGCTTTACTTTGGTCTGGTCACCTCCTAGGACCGGCTCCTTTTCTGCAAAATGAGGGGTTGGCCTCTGAGAGCTTCCTGAGTTAGGAGGAACGGGGAGAGAAGATGACATTTGGCGGGGGGGCACTCATGGGGGGAGGGGGTGAAATCCCACACTTCTTCAAGAAGGAAGGGCAGACAGATGAGTGAGTCAGAGGTCCAAGTCAGCAGAGGAAGGGCAGAGCGGGGCCCGGCTGGCCCACCTTGGAAGATGGGTCTGAGTGTCGGCCCCCCAAGAGCCCCGTTGGTCTTCCCCTCCCTGCCCAGCCTTCTTTAAGGGGTGTGCTCTGCTCCCAGGAAGTCTGGTTTCTGGTCCCCGGAATGCTCTGATCTGCGGCTCTTCTCACCTGAGGCTGGAGTTTCCCAAGGAAGCCTGAGATAACCAGACAAGGAGTGTGTGTGTGTGTGTGTCTCACTGTCCTTTGTATTCAAAGCGAGGGTGCTGCCAGCAGATCGCTATCTGAATGTGGGGGTGCCTGGGACCGGCACAGGCAGCACAGTTCTCCCACCTGCCGTGGACACGTGTGTGCACGCCGCCTGCGCATTCCTGCTGCAGCTGCTTGCGGGACCTGGAAGGGAGTGTTTGCAAGTGTGGCGGGCGGGGGGTGGGCACTCTCGCTGGTCACAGTGACTGTGAGACATCACCAGCATTGAGGGCCTGGGGCCAGGGGCGCGAAGCACCCTGCAGTGCGGAGACTAATCCTGCCCCCAGTGCCGCCACGCCCACGCCAGGAAGCACCGCTCCGTTCCGCCACCAAGCCTGGCTTCACGGTGGGCGCCCTGTCTGGGCGGCCCGCACGCCTGCTGCTCTGCGGCCGTGGGTTGAGACCAGCATGGGCCCTGAACACCGGTGTGGACCGCTTTCCTGGGCGGCCCTGGCTTCGGGGTTCATCCCCCTCCTGTGCCAACCTGGTAGCCCTCTGGTTGTGGCTTCGGCTGTGTCAAGGCCTCAGCCAGTCCTGGTGGCAGCCAGCCCATCCCCAGCCTGAGTGTCAGCAGGACACAGATGTGCCAATGAGCAGACACGTCGTGCAGTGTCCGCCGCTTAGCTGGTTCTCCCAACAGCCCTCCACACTGGGCACGGTTGTTACTCCAGTTTGACAGACGAGGAAACTGAGACACATTGGGTTTAACTAGCCCAAGGCCACTCATCGGGCCAGTGACATGGCCAGAGCTCAGCCACGGTCAGGCTCCAGAGCCCATGTTCCAACCACTCGGCCCAGTGAGCTCAAGGGATGTGTCTCCAAGATGGCACAGCCATCTCAGCCCGAGGAAGACAGAAATGGTCCCACCCGTCAGCTGCACGGCCATGTGTGCAGGGAACGCTGAGCCCTGGAGGGGAACAGGGCCTGGCTGGGAGGAAGCTTGGCTCCTGCTTGTCGGGGTGACAGCAGAGGGACGATGGGGGGCCGTCACCCACAGCTGCCCTCAGCCACCCGCAGCCAACACAGCCCGCCAGCAGCCCTGACCAGGAGCTGGGGCGGGGTTCCCAGGAATGGGCGACACCGCTGGAGTGTGGCTGATGGGGTGCTGGGAAATGCAGTCCACAGGACGTCTCTACCTGCCCCGCCACACCTGGGTGCAGCCAGCCCCGTCCAGGGCTGCCCGCTGCGCCCCCCCACACACACACACCTCAGGGGAGCAAAGCCCAAAGCCTCCGTGAGGTTTAATCAGCGTGACCACATTTTCCCGGGACTTGAGCCAGGATGAGCCCTTGGATGTCTCATCAGGTGACTGAGATGACAACCGGGGATGTCATGCAGAGAACAAGGAAGCTCCTTGTTGCACTTCCATTTAAGGCTTAGCCCGCTGTCCTGTTTGGGCGTAACCAGCTTTCCCTCCAGAGAATGGAGGCGCAGGGGTGTGGCCCACTGACCAAGAGCCGTGGAAGCTAATTGCATATTTTGTGTGTTATCTGCAAGGCGCACATTCCATGTCCAAATGTTCACAAAACTGTCCCGTTCTCCTCCCCTCATTCCCGCCTCCCAACACCCACACCCCAGTTCCCTTTGGGGAGGTTGGTTTGACCCAGTTTGGGGAAGAAAACTGTGCCTGCCTGATGCTCAACGGGGTGTGTGGGTGGAGGTGACAGGCGCGCCATCTCCACGGCTAATAGTTTGTGGCTTCTGAGTCTGGGGGCCACTTCTCACTGGAGCGTGACCCACAGGTTTTCTGCTCTCTGAAGCTCTTGCTGCAGAGGAGAAAGGGGGCCTGGCCAACAGCCGGCCCTCCCCAGCCTTGTGTGGCTGGATCTGGTGTGGAGGGCAGTTACCCCGCTGCCTAAGGACCTCCCTCCACACTCACTCACTCCCCGGGTGGGGCAGGCAGGCTCGGGCTGCTGCAAAGCTGAGTCCCAAGCTGGCCCCTGTGTGGAGACATTTCATCAGGCTCCATGTTGATCCTCTCGTCTCAGGACAAGTCAGAGCAGGCAGACCTGCAGCTCTCTTCCCAACTCGTTCCCACCACACCTCCAGCTTTGCGGCTCTTCCCAGGGAGGCTGGCTCCCCAGGTGGGCTCTCAGGGCCCTGGGGGGCCTCCTTGTTGGGTTGAGCCTCTGCCCAGCCTCCGTTCCCCACTGCAAGCCTGACAGCAAAGCCTGGGAGGCCCAACGCCCCGGCCTGCAGCCCCCGTCTGTCTGCACGTGTGCAGGGGTCCCCCTAGCAGAAGGCCCAGGAGCAGGAGGGTTTCTCCTTTGGCCTTCGAGGAGACTCCTAGGGGCTGTTCCCATTCGCATCCTGCAGGATGAGGCCTTCAGCTGAGGGGACAGTGCAGAACAGGAGTCACCCACCCTGTGTGCAGTGGCCCCCGAAGGCCACCGTGCCGGAGCCACTGGTGTCTGGGAACAGCCTGGGACAGCAGGGCAGGGCTTGGGGACACGGGCTCGGGTCCTGCCGCTGCCGTTCCCGCAGCAAGTGACTGTGGGAAAGGTCCTCTCCCCTCGGGGCCTCGGGCTCCCCTCCCAGGCGGCCCGTATGAGACCAGATCTGTGTGGCCAAACGTTTTTGACTGCGACCCACAGTGAGAACTACATCTTACAGCCAGGTACCCACTCGCTGCTTCACCACACGACACGTCTTTACCGCCTGAATGGCGCTCTGACATCTGACACTGTGTGTTCCACTTGATATTACTCTAGACTGTGTTTTCCAATGACGGTCACAGTCTGATCATCGGTTCATAATCCATAACGGTTCCCAACCTGCCGTTGGAAAAATAATGTGTCAGGAAACGGCTCAGGTTCCATCTCCTCCAGACCTCCCGGGACTCAGGACCCTCCACTGAGCTTTTTGTCCCTCCCTCCGGCCAGATCTACAACGGGACCCTCAAGCGTGAGGCTGACAACAGGCGCTTCAGCTCCTACAGCCAGATGGACAACTGGGGCCGCCACTACCCCCGGGGCGTCTGCAGCACCCTGGGCGCCGGCAGCGACATCTGCTTCATGCAGAAGATCAAGGCCAGCCGCAGCGAGCCAGACCTGTACTGCGACCCCCGGGGCACGCTGCGCAAGGGCACGCTGGGGGGCAAGGGCCACAAGACCACCCAGAACCGCTACAGCTTCTATAGCACCTGCAGCGGCCAGAAGGCCACCAAGAAGTGCCCCGTGCGCCCGCCCTCCTGCACGTCCAAGCAGGACCCCGTGTGCATCCCGCCCATCTCCTGTAACAAGGACATGTCCTTCGGCCACTCGAGGGCCAGCTCCAAGTGAGTGCTGTGGGCCTGGTGGGGGCGGGGGCGGCAGGAGGCCAGCCTCTGGCTGCATTGGAGGGAGGGTGCTCCTGCGATGGAGAGGACACGGTCTCTGTCCCCAGGGATTTGCTCGTCCCTACCTGGGAACACTCCAGGGTGAAGGGGCTGGAGAACCCAGACACTGAAACCGAGGCACTGAGTAGGGTCGTTTTGAAGAGTCGCAGGTCATGAGCAGAGGGGAGCTAATTAGAGGTCAGCTAAGCCATCGGTTCTCCAAGTGTGTTCCTTGGCCAGCAGCCTCCCTGGGAACGTGAGAGGAATGCTCTTTCTCAGGCCCCGCCCAGACCTGCTGAGTCAGGACAGGACCCAACACCATGTGTTGTCGCGAGTCCTGCAGGGGGCTGTGATTCATGCTAGAGTTTGGGAACTTCCATCCTTAGGCATCTCGATCGTTTCCTGAAAGAGCAAAGGAACGTGCCCCCCTGGGAAAGGGGCATTGTGACTTCTTGCTGGAAGAGCACCTCGTAGGGGCTGGGAAGTCAGGCACAGCAGGGCCAGAGTATGCCATTAAAACATGGTTTTTCTGGGCTTTGGGTTTAAAAATGGTTGACTGTCAGCCATTTCACATGGTTCAACCTAGTACATGCCCTTGGGTGTCAGTTTGAACTTGACCCTACAGCAAGGCAAAGCCCCTGAAGAGCACAACACAGTGTACAGGGTTTTAGGACTGCTAATCTGATAAAAGGTCCAAGACGTTGGTTGGGGGAGCTTGGAGAAGACAGCCAGCTGTAGGGGTCTCTTGCTGCAGCCTCCATGACAGTGGTCATGGTCAGAAGGAAGGTAGTGGCCCTGAGGATAGAAAGAAGAGATAGATGTGAGGGTTTTTGTGTAAGAAGAATTAGCGAGACTTGGGGATAGAGGGAGGGAGAGATGGATAGATGGATGGATAGGTGGATGGATGGAAGGTGGATGGATGGATGGATAGGTGGATGGATGGATAAGTGGATGGATGGGTAGATGATGGATGGA